TGCCTGCAAACCTATCTGCCCCTAAGGGACCTCCCTCCCTATCCCTTCTCCCCAGATGGAAGCTGAGGCCACAAGGTCAGAGTTTAGGCAAGAAGGGGCTAAGGCCCTCCCAGTGAGAGTCAAGCAGGCCAGGGAACGGGACTGAGGAACATAAAGCCCGGCTTCAACATCAGAGCCGTAAGAACCAGAACTTACCTTCTTCGGCCAAATTGCAGCCCCCAGATCAGGAAAGACGGTGGCACCACCAGCTTCTACATCGCTCATCTGGGAATACAAGGCATAGAGCTTGGCCCTTCTACCCAAGGATTTCAGAGCAACTGAGCCACGAAACATGAAGAGGTGTGCAGATCAGCCTCCTCTGGACATGAGCAACACGGCTTGGAGGCTCTGCTCCACGGCCAGCCCTTCAGCTAAGAAAAGCTTTTCCCTAAACACTGCTTAATCCAACGGTTCTCAACCTGTGGGTCGAGACCCCTTTGGCAGTCGAACGACCCTTTCACAGGGGTCGCCTAAGACCATCCTGCATATCAGATATTTACATTATGATTCATAACAGTAGCAACATTACAGTTATGAAGTAGCAACGAAAATAATTTTATGGTTGGGTCACAACATGAGGAACTGTATTTAAAGGGCCAGAAGGTTGAGAACCACTGGCTTAATCTGTACGGTTCATCAAGACAGTCTCAATGCCATGGGCACGCAAGAGCTGTAGGGGAGACTCACATCTCAGCTGTCCTCAGAGGGTAACAATCTAAATCTCAGAAAAATGCCTGCCTGACCTCCACTCCTTGCATCCCCATTAGGCCTGGGCCTTGCCTAAGCCACTATACCCATGAGCTACCCTGACCAGGAGCTCCCTGATGCTTCCAACACCATCTGTGGTCCCCACTGTGGCCTCTAAAACTTGCTCTAGTTAGACACGCACCTTCCCCGGGCCTCTGGGTGGGAAGGTAGGGTTTGTCTCTCCAGAGGCCCTGCTTTCTCCCATGGTGAGACCTCAAACTAACCAGAACACAAATTCCATGGAAGGGAGGCTGCACTCATGCCCACAACGTGTGCCTCGACTCACGCCCAAAGCACCACTTCTTTCTCGTCTGGCTCTCTCACTTCAAGTTTTTGCTCATAATGTAATAGCATTTGCAGCTAATAAATATTTCCACAGGACACATACCAGACAGACTGAAGGGCACTCGACAGACAGGGGAAATGAATAACATGAAAACCCCTAACGGTCACAGTCCTGGGGATCCAATCCAGACTCTTCTAGAACCCGAAGGCCCTGTCAGTCTCACCAGCCTCTCCCTTTAGCCACCATCAATTCATGCCTCCAAGTCACCAGCCTTTTTCTATTTTTCCAACATCCCACGCTCCTTCCCTCTTCCAGGTCTCCACACACTCTCTCCTCTGCCAGAAACCAAGTTCCGCCAACTATTTTCCACTCAACCTTCAAGTCTCAATATTGACATGTTACTTCCCAAGGGAGGCCTTCTCTGAGCACCAACCCTGAGCTACTGTCTTCAAAGCACTTGTCACCATGGCAATGAAACAATGACCTCTCCTCTGCTTAAAGTAAGCCTTGTATTAGACCGTCAGCCTTACAAGAGAGACCACACATGTCCTGCCCACCAGCGTGTTCATGGCAGTCCCCAGCACATAAAAGCCACACAATAGCCCTAACCGGTTTGGCTCAGTGGATAGAGAGTCGGCCTGCGGACTGAAAGGTCCCAGGTTCGATTCCGGCCAAGGGCATGTACCTTGGTTGTGGGCACATCCCCAGTAGGAGGTGTGCAGGAGGCAGCTGATCAATGTTTCTCTCTCATCGATGTTTCTAACTCTCTATCCCTCTCCTTTCCTCTCTGTGAAAAATCAATAAAAAATATATTTTAAAAAAAAAGCCACACAATAAAAATGTAAATGAGAAACCAGAGGGAAATACGGACACAGGCATCTATCTCTGAATTTCTTGACAGTTTCTATGCCTCCTTAGGGCCAGTCCTTTCAGCAGAGGGGGCCGGAAACTGTTGCTCATGTGAGGAAAACCCAATGGCCTGAGGCTGGAGCACAAGAAGCCTGTGGGAGACAGGACACCAAGTTTGGGGAAACAAAGGCAGCTTTCATCTAAGCACTTCACGGCTACTTCCTCACTCTGCTGCCAAGGAGGGAACTTTTGGGGCACCCACCCCAAAATTCCAGACTAGCACTGGGCCCATCGAAAAGGAGCCAAGGCCCTAGCCAGTATGGCTCAGTGGATAGAGCGTTGGCCTGCGGACCAAAGGGTCCCGGGTTCGATTCCGGTCAAGAGCACGTATCTTGGTTGCAGGCTCCTCCCTGGCCTGGGCCCTGGCTGGAGCTCATGCAGGAGGCAACCAATCGATGTGTTTCTCTCACATTGATGTTTCTCTCTGTCTTTCCCTCTCTCTTCCACTCTCTCTAAAAATCAATGGAAAAATATCCTCAGGTGAGGATTAACAAACAAACAAAAAAGAAGCCAGGGATGTGAAGGTCCTGGGGGTCAGGGGGGTGCCCATAGATAAACAAAGGCCAACTCTCTACTCCAGCCAAGATGGGCCCAGCCACTGAGCAAGGCTGGTGGTATCAGCCCTGACAGGAGTGGATATAAGAGCTTTTTGGACCCAGACTCCTCTTAAGGCTCACACACCACACACATCATACTCACGTAGTTTAAGAATGTGGCCACACGGTTCCCCGTCCCTAAATGCTTGAAAACATCTTGCTCATCGTTCTATAAAATTAAGTGAGAGTAAACAGGCGGGCCTGGACCCGATACTTACATAGTTAAGAAACGTCGCTAACCTATTCCCCTCTGTTTTGAGGCCGCTGTCAAAAGGTCGCTGCAACAAACAACAACTTTCACCCAAGTTTGCAACTGACTTCACCCACCACCACCACCCCGCCCCCCACCGGGGCCAAAAGGGTCAGGGAAGGTAATAAGTGTGCGTTCCACCCATCAGCCTGGACCATGGGCCAAGGCTGCCAGGTAAACTCTGGGAGGGCACGGGGGAGGGGGCAGGATCAGCCTTCACAGAGACCTAGTGAGGTCCTCTGCTGGACAGTCAGGGCAGAGAATGACAGGGATGGGCAGGAAGAACACTCCCCACATCCCAGGGGAAGCAGCCAGGCTGCACTGGGCTCTGCAGGCCCCTGGTTCCAGACTTGGGCTTCTCCAATAACAAAGAGTTGGCCCTGGTGAGGCGGGGGAGCCTGGTGCGGAGGCTGAAGTGCTTCTAGAAGCCCCAGCCTTCTCAAACCAGCTGGAACAGGTCCCTCTGAAAGCACCGGTGAGTTGGGCCTTACCCTAGAGAAGTCAAAGTGTGGCTCGTACTGTCCTCCCATTCCATAATTAGCAACCTGGTGGGAAATAACCACGTTGGGCCTCGTCAGCAACATGAACAGCCCCAAAACAGCCCATGTCCCCAGGGTTACCATCTTCCCAGGTAACAACTAGAACCACCTGAACCCCCAAAACCAGAACCCCCAAGACCAGCCCCTCTAAGGTAGAAGGTAACTATGCCCGGCCAGCACGGGCAGAGCAAAGGCTGCAAACATGTCTACGGCTAGAGGGAGAGTAAGGCTGCAGCACAAATGTGGTTTCCCAAAGAGAACATGAGCCACCTGCATGTGGCCACTGTGGAGAAGCTCCTGCCCTGCAGGGACACGCAGATGACAGCAGAGGGAGCCCTTGAGACAGGCCCCGGCCCAAGCCCTGTTTGGGAGATAATGAGAAGGTAATTCAGAGGAAAGCCAACGACAAACTCAAGATTGGGATTTCTTTTTTTAATACTAGTTTGGGAGCTTCTCAGTGCCTGGCACTGCTCCTGCCACGTCTGTCACCATGCCCATGGAGGGGCATATTCCTTCATCCCGCAGCTGTCCACTGCATGGAGTACTCTGCCTCCAAGTGAAGCAGCAGGACATGGGCGGCCAGCTGCAGGTGGCCAGAGCTGCTGCCCGACCTCGGTGCCCCCTGCAGGAGCCTGGGCCTGGAACAGGACCCGAGCCACCTCACTGCAGCAACCACTAGGTGTCATTACTGGGATGAGAAATAGTAAATGCCTTTGTGAATAGTTTATCAGCACAATGTAAGTCCTAAATCACGACAGTTATTTTAGCTTCAGGAGATATATTCAGTATGAAAGCTGGTCAATCAAGTGGCACCATCAAAGTCCTTCTGGGAACACTTGGCTACTGTGTCTTACTGAAACCCGAAAAGCCTGTGGGCTCAGTTATTAGTCCTCAGAAAATTGGTACTTTTAGTGTATTCTTCTCAGCGATTTCAACCTTCAGGTGGAAAATGCTGCACAGTTAGCAACAACGGAGGCCCTTAGACCTGGGGGAGGGCCGGGAGGGTGGACTTTACAAGAGAGAATCCTCCTTTTGGAGCATAAACAGTATCTGTCTAATGGAATGTAGTGCAGAATTTGGGCAGCATGATTTTCGGTCTCCACAAAAATAAAAACTTTGATATGAAGAATCAGGGGATGAAAAAATGCTGTCACCCACTGCTTCAGCCTTCAAGACCCCAATAGTCTAAACAGCTGGCCACCCTGCTGTTGGTCAGGAGGCCTTGGGTCAACAGGTGGCCCGAAGGCTAGAGGTGCCTCTAAGGAGGGAAATGCTAGAGCAGTTGACGAAGTGACAGTACATATGCTTTTTCTGTGGATCCTCTCTAATCGAGACCTCAGGAGAAAATTTTAAACATGACTGTGATCACCGTGCCACTGCACGCGGGAAAATCCCATCACTGCTTGTCGCTGGAGCTGCGGAGCAGGCTGGATTTTCCAACACTCCCCCTTACTGGGTGGAGTGCATACGTGTTCGGATCCCAGGGAGTGAGAGAAGCTGCATTGCTCTGGCCGGCTTATCTTTTAACAGTTGGGGAACCACATTTGATCATGGTGCTGCAGCTATTGTCCCTACACTATCTAATACTGTTCCCAAATAGCACAAATGTCATGGAAACTTCTGGATTTGCCGCAATCAGATTCACGGTCTGGTCAAACTCTGGTCCCCAGACACGTACCTTTAATAACAAGCAACTGCACATCAAAACTGATTCCTGTGAGGAGGTATTCATTTGGACCTTTAGAGCAGCGATTCTCAACCTGTGGGTCGAGACCCCATTGGCGGTCGAATGACCCTTTCACAGGGGTCACCTAAGACCATCCTGCATATCAGATACAGTGGGGCCTTGACTTACGAGTTTAATTCGTTCCGTGACGGAGCTCGTAACTCAAATTACTCGTATGTCAAATCAATTGTGAACGAGTGAGACACGTGATGCTGGGCTGATGTTGTGGCGTTCACTGTGACGTTCGCTGCGCCAACTAGCGGTGGGGTATCTGAAGCTGGCTCGTAACCCTGTGGGTCGCGACCCCTTTGGCGGTCGAACGACCCTTTCACAGGGGTCGCCTAAGACCATCCTGCATATCAGATATTTACATTACGATTCATAACAGTAGCAACATTACAGTTATGAAGTAGCAACGAAAATAATTTTATGGTTGAGTCACAACATGAGGAACTATATTTAAAGGGCCAGAAGGTTGAGAACCACTGCTTTAGAGAGTCAGTCATTTGAAAGATCAGGGTTTTTATGATGCAGAGATCAGAGTGAAAACACACAAAAAAATAAAGTTAGAGCCCAGCAGGCATGGCTCAGTGGTTGAACGTCAACTTATGAGTGAGGAGGTCACGGTTCAATTCCCGGTCAGGGCACATGCCTGGGTTGCAGGCTCAGTCCTCAGTGTGGGGTGTACAGGAGGCAGCCGATCAATGATTCTCTCTCATCGCTGATGTCTCTATCTCTCTCTCCCTCTCCCTTCCTTTCTGAAATCATTTTTTTTAAAGTTAGAAATCCCTTTTTTGGTGAGGCTGAGATGTTGAGTTAGAAGTGTCTTCAATCTCAGAGAATTCTAGCAGGGTAGCCTCTCTTCCTCCATTGGGCCCTCATCCAATTCACAACAAAACCGCTTCACTTCAGCTGTAGTGAAGACACATCAACTACAGCTGAAAAAGTGTCAACGAGTAGAAGAGGAACCAGTTCCTTTCCAGAAGCCTGCAGCATTCCACAGGGACCCTGCGTGCATGTATGACACTGCAAGTGGTCCCCGTGGAATAAGCACTAGAGACAGATGCTGAAGGCAGGTTCCTGTCCCCCAGACCATGTAGGGTCAAAGCTTGCAACACTGCTGGCTGGCAACGGAAATGCCAAGACAGCACGAAAAGACAAAGCAAACAAACATGGTGCCTCGCCCTGGCTGGGTGGCTCAGCTGGTTGTGTCGCCCTGTACACCAAAAGGCTGACAGTTCAATTCCCGGTCAGGGCACATGCTCAGGTTGTGTGTTCGGTCTCCAGTCAGGGTGTGTTTGGGAGGCAACTGATCGATGTTTCTCTCTCACATTGATCTCTCCCCCCGCCCTTTCCTCTCTAAAATCAATAAAAATATACATATTTTTAAAAACTGCAGTTGATTTCACACATATCCATGAAGATGACCTTCAAATTTGTTTTTCTAATTGCTGAGAGAGAGAGAGAGAAAGAGAGAGAGAGAGAGAATATGCATTTGCTTGGGTGGGTCCAGGCACAAGTTCAGAGAATCTTTTCCAAACGATCTTCAGTTAAATAGTCTAATAAGCTCTCTGGCTGATCAGACCCAAATGTCAAGCCTACAGGTGAAGAGTGAGATCCTTAAACATGTAGAAGCTCTGGCCAAACAGATCCAGGAGATTCGAGAAAAATACCAGTGAAATTTCTCTGACAGTGTCTCAGGCTATCACTATACAACGGAACCCACAGGTTCCGATGCTCCGGAGATGGCCAGTGCTGACTTGAACTCATTAGACTGAGGTTTCATTATTAGGAGGTCTCAGGCCACTATACAACGGAACCCACAGGTTCCGATGCTCCGGAGATGGCCAGTGCTGACTTGAACTCATTAGACTGAGGTTTCATTATTAGGAGCGTCACCCAAAACTTCCCAGCACAGTGCTGCCATGTGTCTTCACAATCACCGTGGCAATGGGCAGGGAGCCAGGACTCCACAGCGGGCACTTAGAGAAAAGCACTCCACCTTCAGCAGCCAGCTGGTCCAGGCCACTCGCTTCTATCAATATCCCACAGAACACTTTACCTCCAAGGACCTTTGACTGGGACTCAGCACCATGCCCTCTAAAGGTATTCATAGCTCTCTTAGAGGTGTCCCTGGGACAACTCATGGTTTCAGCTTCTGTATTCGAGAAGACATGAATGGGCCTGCCAGGCCCACCACTGGCCTCTAGCTCCCAGTCACATAGAAGATAATCGATATTTGCTGAATGTTAACTGTTGAATGCCGCAGGCATGCTTAATTCTGGCTTTCCCATGTGACGTCACTCTATAGTCACAGCATTATGCAGTCATACAGTTTACTGGACAGGCCTCCCTAAGCCTAGCCCTGGGCACCTTGGGAGCCCATGTATCCAGGAAGACCCCCGTCCAATCCAAGGTCCCAGGGACCAGCCATACCTGCAACAATTCTGCAGTCTTTACTGTTAGCCCTGTGATGTGCTGCATCCGACGGTTCACTCGAGCCACAACGGGATCATCGTCCTCCTCCAGCCAGGAGCTAAGGCAAAAGAGGGCGAGAAAGAGAGGAAGGGAAGACAGGCTTAGGTGAGGTCCTGCACTCTCTCCCCAGAGGCAGCATGGGTGAGTGCTCTACGAGGGGAGGGGTTGGACAGGTAGGACAAGCCAAGCCACCCTCCCTCAAGGAATCCCTGGGTAGGGCCTGGGAGGCCGTGGAGGTGGGGCTTGAACAGTCACCCTGCCACCATCACCTGTGCTGACCTTTTGGAAACCCTGTAGCTGGCAACAGTGAGGACGCCTGTCTTGGGATCACGAACAGTGGCTCGTGCAAGCTGGAAGGCAGGAAGAGAGGACAGATTTATCCTTCTTTGCCTTGAGTGTTTTCCTGGGGAGACTGGGACCGGATCTGCCAGTCAGGCCAGTGAGGGAAGAAGCTTCGCAGGCAATGGCTCTAACCGAGGTCCCCATGATCCTGCAAGCCAGGCCAGTGCAGTAGTCTGGAGCTTCCACATTTCTGCTCTGCTGTCAGACCCTGGCCACTGACCTGCTCAGTCCCCATCCACCCTTGTTTTCACCCAGGTCGGTGCTGTCTGCAGAGTTACGCCTATGGAGTCGGCCTGTCCATCCATCCATCTTCCCAGACACCCCCCTTTCTCACCAGGACCCCGTACCACCCCTGCCTGAGCACAGCCTGCACGTGGCTGCTCCTGCCAGTCAGACTGTGCCAGCATCCCTGCGCCTCAGCCTTGCCTGCTCCTCTCAACCTGGTCAAGCCCACAGTCCTGCTGAACCTCAGTGGTCTCCTCTGCCAAACCTACCTAAACAGTCTCTTGCTGCCCCAGCTTACTCTGGCTCCCGCTGCTGCAGGAGCACATACAGGCGGCACGGATCCCACCCTCTTAGGTAAAGTCTCAAAAGGTCAGATGATAGAATTGGGACATAAGTGAACTGCTGCCTGGAAGCAGCCACCTCACATCTACACCTCACATGCACACATGTACACACCACATACACACACAGCCCTCACCTACCTCATCTCTCCCCAGTCTCCATAGACAGGTGACAGAAGCCAATTCTAGCATGTCATAATTGCAAGAGTTTCATCAAAAGGTTGATGGAACTTGGGGACCCAACAAGGGCCGAGTCATACATGTAGTCACCTGTTGGGAATGGCTGACGGCATTTCCCCAAACCTGAATAGGATATATTAAATTGATTGTTTGCTGCCAGATCAGCTCAGGGCATCTTAATCTACATGTTATTGCCTCCTACTGGCCAAACACCTGAACAGCTGTAGGCTAATTCCCCCATTCTGACAATGCTTGTGTATACCCTTTGAAGTATATATCTCTGCCTCGCCTCAGGACAAATTGTGTTAATAAAAGGCATGGGGTCCTGAGATGAGAAAAACTTAGATCTTAGTTTCCTTTCAGCTAAGCTCCTCTGACCCCCAAATGCCTTTCAAAATTATCTTTCGTCTCTGGACTCCTATTTAATCTACGCACAGCCTTCTCCAGATTCCTGAACCCTTCCAGATGCTGGAACAAGAACCCCGGCAGAAGGTGCAGCAATAGACTCCCAGGAAGGACCTGCTGCCGAGAGCCAGCCCCCAGTGCTTCAGCTGTAGACTGTCCTAATGAACTCACATGGGTGGGACCACAGACCCAGATATCCCACCCCAACAGTACTTCCCCTTCATCTCGATAAGCACCTAATGAGTGCCTACTGCATGCTTAGCACTATGCTGGGTGACTAACATGTGGCCCCTACCCTCATACAACTCAGTCAAGTGAGGAAGGCAGAAAACCAGCTGGGTAATTGCAGCACAGCACGGGAAGAGCTGGGAGGGGGCATGCTTAATGTCAGTGGGAGCCCAGTCTGCAGGGTCAAGAATGATTTCCTGCAGGAGGGGATCATGTAGCTGAGACTTGAGGGTAAGCAGGAGTTAGCTAAGTGGGGGAGCATCACAGGAAGAAGGAAGGAACGGCAATGCAGAGGCCAGGGATGAAAATGGGTGTGGCACTATGTCTGTGGGTTATAAGTTAGACATAAGAGAAGAGAATAGGCTACAGAGGCAAGTGTGTGTCGGGGGGATGGTGGGAGGGCTGAGTCTAGATGTGACCTTGTGGCAAATAAGAAACAGGGAAGGCTTTTATACAGGGTGGGACACTCACAGTCTGAATGTAAGAAGGATCCCTGTGGACACCTCGTGGAAAGTTGAGTAAGAGGAACACAGTGGGAACAAGGAGGCCAGTGGGGAAGTCAAGGCAGAAGTGAGGGCAAGAGATGATGGTAGTCTGGGCAGGGGTAGCAGAAGGGATGGAGAGGAGCAGATGGCCCAGAGGTGGTCAGGAGGTGCAATCAACCAACCTGGACACTCTGCTGCCCTAGCATGTTCTGGTAAGACGACCAGAGCACCCGGACGGAGGGCTTCCCTGAGCGCCTGCCTACGGCTCCTCCCTGATGACAACTGTGGGGGCAGCTAGACTCCATCCAAGCATCGGAGCCTCACTGCTGGCCTGACACCCACAGGAGACCTGGACAGCTGTGCTCTGCTCCCGAGGACAGACAGGGCTATTTTGAAAACAGGCTGGGGACTCCCAGGCAGCTGCCAAGCATTCCCCACCGGCCAAGTTAAGCTCGCCGGCCCCACTTCAAAGCCAGCACAGCATCTGTCCCCCACAGGCTCCGGAAAAGGGGAGGTCAGCGTGTTTGGCTCTTCACATGGCTTCTGTTCAAAGACAAGTTTTCTCAACATCCCCTCCACTGCCCCTGCCACACACATGCATGCGTGCACACCCTGTTACACACACACACACACACACACACACACAGAAGTGTTTCACTGCCTGGGTCTAAGGAACACGTGAGGAATTTCTCAGGAGATTCTGACACAACAGTGCCTCTCTCACCTGGCAACCAGGAAAGTGTTTTACTCCCTTGGAGGGCTTTGGAGCTGATGCTGGGAGTGCAAAGTGGGAGGGGGGAGGTCCCCATTCTCCACACATACCGGCTAGACCCTCCCTCGGCCACATCTATGATACAACTGACGCTAGTACCCCCAATCAAGGTCACTCAACATGAGGTCCAGGGTGCGGGACAGGAACCTAGGCTTCCTCTTGGCCACTACAATTCTATTAGGAGCAGAGCAGCAGTAGGTCCAGCTGAGGCCTCCCTCCTCCTGACCAGTGACAGGGGAGTGGGGATATGGCAGCAAGCAGTTCTCTTTGAAAGATGTCAAATAGAAGCAAATCTCTTATGAACTAGAAATAGAAAAGTAACTTTATAATATGATGACATATATACAAAACTAACAGCCAACTGCATACTTAGCAGTGAAATACCAGAAGAATCTCCAGTTAGTTACAAGACAAGGATGCCTCTTATTTCAGTGCTCCACAAGTTCTGGGCAGCTCACGAAGGCATTGAAACAAAAGAACTATAAATATTAAGAAGAAGACAACATTTTTCTAAGTTGCAGCTGATGCTACTATCTGAACAACCCAAGAGAATCAGCTGAAAACCAAAAGAGGAATAAGGAATAAGTTCAGTGACACGCTGTGACCTGCACAAGTCTCAGTTTCCACGAGGGGAAGAGGAACATAAGGACACAGCCTGCTTAACAGCTAAGCACTTAGGACAGGGCCTGCCACACTTAAGAACTCGGTCAATATTAGCTCTTACTATGAAATATGCAATCAACAGTTTAGCATATAATCGCAAACTAATACAACAATGCAACCAGTAAAAATATAATAATAAAGAAACAAAATGGAGTGACAGTAGCAAGAAAACTACCTAGGAATAAACGTAAGAAGAAATATGCAGGGCATTATGAAGACAATGGCAAGAGATATGAACCAATGAGGACACCCAGAAGGCTCTTGGATGAGAAGACTCGATATTGTAAAAATGATCCCTCTCCCGCTGTGCAGGAGCAGTCCCGATCAGGAGCTCCGCAGGCCCCAGCCGGGCAGCACCTCCTAAAATCTCACCCCCACACACCAGCTCCGAGCAGGTAGGCTGACGCTTCTCACGGTGCGCCTGCCCTGCCCTGTGTGCCCTTCTATCCTAGCAGCTGTGCTCTGCTCAGCTGACCTGGCTGTCCACATCGGCTCCTCAATATTCTTCCCCACTGGACCCACAGACCCACAAGGTCACACCGAGTCCTCAGCACCTCAGCACCCCCACAGCGGACTCATGCCGGACGCTGGCCAAGGCCAGTGGGCTAAGCGACAAACGGCCCCACGGTACCAGGACCCAAGAAGGACCTGCAGACACCTACTTTGGGTTTTGCGATCTCCTTGATCCTCTGGATTTCCTCGTCAGACATGACGTCGTAGTACCTGACGATGTGCGGGCTGTCCCACTCGTCCTCCTCTTTGAAGGGGGCGATGAGCAGCTGTGGCGTCCCGTTGCCATCGTGGTACCTACAGAAAAGCCTCTTCTGCCTCTTGGGTGTCTGCGGAGCACAGAGCAGCAGCCCTGAGCCGAGTGAGTCCTAAGCCCTGTCCCAGGCTGGCTGGCTGCAGACCCTGGTCTCACACCCTGTGTCCAGCAGCGGCTCCCTCCCACCCCACCTCAGCTTGCTGGGCATAAAATGATACCCCAAACATCAGGCAATGTTTCTTCTTTCCCAAGGTCTGTGGCAGAGGGTGACCCCTGACCTTGTTCACAGAGATGTGAGTAGGTTTAAAGGGCTGGGGCAGGGGGAGCCTTTCCAGGAGGAAGGGCCGGGGGGAGCGAGGCAGTCAGGCCTGGAAAAGGCCGAGAGTGCCCACACCTGAGCCTCCCTAAGGACGCACTGGGATCCCAGGGCTCTCAAGGCCGGTGATACCCGACACCAAATTCTAGCAACTGCGGAGTTCCAGCCTTTGCCGAGTCTCTACTACAGAGACCAGGACTTCCCTTGGGAACTGAGCAAATGATGTTCCCATATGTTACTAAAAGGATGCTTTATTTAGTTTTCCTCACCTCAGGATATTTTTTCCATTGATTTTTAGAGAGAGCAAAGGGAGAGAGGGAGCGGAAGAAGGGGGGAGGGGTGGCAGAGGGAGAAAGAGAGAAAAACTATGTGAGAGAGACACATTGATTGGTTGTCTCCTGCACATGCCCCAACTGAAGCCGGGGATCGAACCTGCAACCCAGGTACCAGGAATTGAACCTGCGACCCTTTGGTCTGTGGGCCAACCCTCTAACCACTAAGCCACATTGACCAGGGCAGTGCTTTTGATCTCCTTCAGTCCCATAGCACAAGACACATAAAACACTAATGCCATGGCAAGTCCACCAGTTAGACTCAGGGTCAGGTCACAGTCACTGCAGCAACCCTGGAGTATAGCTTACTCTCAAACTACAATGAAACCTCCATCATGCATAACAGCAGATGCACTGTGGGCCTCATAACACGAGGATTCCTAAAATGCAGGAGGATTCCCCAAACAGAACTGAGTTGGTTAAGGAGCTAGCTGGTCGCTGGGCTGGGTCCAAAAGCAGTAAGGCATTAGCCACTGCCAGTGGACAGGTCAGACTGGCTCAATCCTAGGAGAATGGCCAGGTAGTGGCCAGTGGAGTAACCAGTTCTCCTGCCAGCCAGCTGCCCACCCCGATCTGACCTTCCCCTAACCTTCTTACCAAGGGAGAGCAGGCGGCGGGTGAGCTCCAGGGCGCGGCGCAGGTCTCCCAACTGGAAGACAGCGTAGCTCAGGTAGTCCAGCACCTGGGCCTTGGTGGTGACGGCCTCCTCCCCAGCATCCAGCTGCTTCAGCACCTGCTCCATCCACAGCACCGTGTGGTAATAGTCCCCTTCGTTGTAGGCTGAGCGGCCCATCCCAAAGCAGTCGTCTGCACTCATCACTGCCTGGTACTTGGTTCCTGCAGCAGGACAGGCAAACAGTCAGGCTGTCCCCTAGAGTGCACCCATCCCTGGTGACCACATCACATGCTGGGCACAGCTAGAAGGCAGGCTGAAATACTGGCAAAAAGAACAGCTACGTGACACCACTGCCACAGCTTCAGCTTGTGGGCCTCACAATACGAGGAGCACGCTTGGCAGGATTACTGTGCCCCTCCTCGGACGAGGAAACTGAAGCCCAAGGGTCTCCTGACTCCCTGTCCAAGGCTCTTACTTACATGACAGAATCTACAAAGCTCTCTTCCCACATCAGTCTTGCTGGACACTCCTATGCTAGTTGACATCAGACTCATGAAAAGCATCAGCATAAGAAAGTCTTTGCTGGTCTGTGAAATTCCAGACTATGATGTTCCCATATGTTACTAAAAGGATGCTTTATTTAGTTAATTAGTCCTCACCCCAGGATATTTTTTCCATTGATTTTTAGAGAGAGCAAAGGGAGAGAGGGAGTGGGAGAAGGGGGGAGGGGTGGCAGAGGGAGAAAGAGAGAAAAACTATGTGAGAGAGACACATTGATTGGTTGTCTCCTGCACATGCCCCAACTGGAGCCGGGGATCGAACCTGCAACCCAGATACCAGGAATTGAACCTGTGACCATTTGGTCTGTGGGCCAACCCTCTAACCACTAAGCCACATTGACCAGGGCAGTGCTTTTGATCTCCTTCAGTCCCATAGCACAAGACACATAAAACACTAATGCCATGGCAAGTCCACCAGTTAGACTCAGGGTCAGGTCACAGTCACTGCAGCAACCCTGGAGTATAGCTTACTCTCAAACTACAATGAAACCTCCATCATGCATAACAGCAGATGCACTGTGGGCCTCATAACACGAGGATTCCTAAAATGCAGGAGGATTCCCCAAACAGAACTGAGTTGGTTAAGGAGCTAGCTGGTCGCTGGGCTGGGTCCAAAAGCAGTAAGGCATTAGCCACTGCCAGTGGACAGGTCAGACTGGCTCAATCCTAGGAGAATGGCCAGGTAGTGGCCAGTGGAGTAACCAGTTCTCCTGCCAGCCAGCTGCCCACCCGATCTGACCTTCCCCTAACCTTCTTACCAAGGGAGAGCAGGCGGCGGGTGAGCTCCAGGGCGCGGCGCAGGTCGCCCAACTGGAAGACAGCGTAGCTCAGGTAGTCCAGCACCTGGGCCTTGGTGGTGACGGCCTCCTCCCCAGCATCCAGCTGCTTCAGCACCTGCTCCATCCACAGCACCGTGTGGTAATAGTCCCCTTCGTTGTAGGCTGAGCGGCCCATCCCAAAGCAGTCGTCTGCACTCATCACTGCCTGGTACTTGGTTCCTGCAGCAGGACAGGCAAACAGTCAGGCACCAAAGAGCCTGTGTGAGGGAGAGAGATTGCCACGTCAGGGAAGCCTGGGCCGCTGGCCGGGGGCATCACCCAGCAGAGCCTTACCAGGGCTTCAGACCACACACCTCAAAGGGCCATTGCTACAGTGAGCACAGCCAGGCTGGCTCTACCTTGGGTTGGGGTTCACAGCCAATCTCCTAGCCTCAGACTCCCCTTCTCCCCAGTGGGAAGGGGCCTTTGCTATAGTGGAGCCCAGGAAACCCACCAAGAAGTAGTTTTCAGGAGAGCATGAATGTCCTGTGAGCCACACAGACAGTATCTGCTGGGCAGCAGGATGTGTGAGTTTGGAGGGTAAAAAAAAATTAGTTGAATATAAAAAACAGAACCTAGGTGGCATCTAAAGCCATGGATGAGGATAGCTGCTCCCAGGAAGAGTCTGAGGAAAGAGTAGAGAAGGTGGCTGAGACCAGAGCCCCAGGGAGCACCTATACAGAAGGGACAGAGGAAGAATAACACTGGGAGGGACATAAGAGGTAAAAGCAAAAGAAGAAGCAGGAGCCCTGAGAGACACCAAGGGAGGCCAAGAGCCAAGGCTGCAGTGCCAGCTTTGGCCGTTAGGTGGCAGGGAACTTGCTGAGCATCATTTCAGCAGGTCCTGTGACCAGAGGTCATCCACTGTGGGCTGAGCCCTGGAAAGTGACCATGAAAATAGTTTAAAATCAAGAAGATGTGGTGTGTTAGCCACGGGGAGATGCAGGCTTTAAGGTGGGGGCAAGGTGGGAGGGTCTGTGAGTGTGTTCCTCAGAGAACAATGAAAGCAGGTCCTATGGA